TCCGCCCGCAGGGCTCAGCTTGCACCCATGCAATGAAAAAAATAAAATAAAATATACATATAGCCTACGTATGAGAATACTCAGCCTCTTTAGAGAGACTCAAGTTGTCCCCAGTGCAGTGGATTTTGCAGCAATAATGAAGATTATTTCATTTGTTTCAGGGACAGTCTGATGAGCCACACGCAATCTCTTGCTTCCCATTCATTAAACGAGATGGCTTATGATACGCTCAACTACACCTGGGAGCTGCCAATCCTGCACACAGTCAAACTCTCTCCTGTTTAAATGCTTTCCTGGAAAAATATTAGTGAATCCCCAGCTGATTCAGTTTTGTACACACAGTACCGTGTGCCATCCAGGACTACATTCATAACATACGATGAGCATTCATATAGTTACTGTTCTTTTTTGGGGGGGTTTCTCGAAGCATTCAGAACCATATAAATCACTGCATTTGCTGGTGACTCTTAATCACTCATTGGGCATCGACAAAAGATACACACTGTTATCATTTTTATTGACGAGAAAGTGTTGACAGACATCTCTACTTGTGATTTCTTAAAATAATTCTACCTAAGGGAAATTGTTTTCAGGACAGAAACCTCAAAACAAGTAAATAATCTAAAATAGCTGACTTTGACTGTTGAAAAGTGGGAGTTTGGGGAGTGCAGGGATAAGAAAAATAAGAAAATGATGACGCCGGAAAAACCTGTGTCTCCACAAGTTCTTTTCTGAAAAAGACTGGGATAAATTTGAACATAATAACCTCTGTTCCCTGCCACTCAATGTCTTTAAAATGTTCATTGTTCAGTCGTCAGAGTAAAACAAGTCTAAAAAGAGCTGAACAATTAAATATAGTAGCCTGATAAAAACAAATAAGAGCTTATAAGCAGGTTAATATTCATTGTTGAATACGACAGAGGCTTTGTTTTTGTACCATAAACAGACATATGTCCTTTATTTAAACTTGGCAAGGGGAAAGTGTTGGAGTTTCTAAGATGCTAGGTGACCTGGAAGTAAAAAGTAACAGAAGGCATTCCCGCCCACTGGCTCCACAGGCACCAGGCTGCCCCCACTTTCAGCTGTAACCTCCCATTCGACACACATGTAGTGGTTTTGCACAGCATAAGGAATGCATGGAACATGAATATGACTGTAATGATATGACTTGCAAACAAAGTAAGAATGCAAACTGAAAAATATATTAAATACATGGCAATATACAAAACAATGTGGTATTTACACTGTATTTCTATTCAAAACAGAAAAGGATTATCATAGGAAATTGTAATTTTTTTTAAGTATGGGTTTTGTATTCCGAGTTTTTTATGTGTTTTCTATATTTAGCTCTGTTTACTAAGTGCTGATTGCTCTCCCCCAGTCATTTCCTGTTTCTGTGCCATCATTAGTCTCTTCTTCCCAGGTTCCTCATCCTGGTTCCTGTGTCTCAAGTTCCCTTTGTGTTTTCTGTAAGTTCACATTTTGTTGTCCAATAAGTCTACATCAGCATGATGCTCTTGAGTTCCTATCCCTTTCAAAAACCCATCTTGATGTTTAATTTTTAACAACAGATCAGTAGTGAACCTTTCTTGGAGTGGCCTTGTCAAGGCTGGCCTGAAATCCACTTGAGATGATGCAGCATGACAATATTCCTCCACAGGGCTGCGAAGGCTCATCGTATGTTATGAGAAACGTTTCACAGCAATTGTTGCCACCAAGAGTTGAATAGCTGCTATGTTTGGAGAGCAATTGCTTGTTCTCATTAGAAGGTTGGTATGGCTAGACTTTACCCATAATAAATTGAATCATAATTTGAAAACTTCATTTTGTGTTTGCTCTGGTTGTCTTTAAATATATCAAATGGCTTCATGATCTTAAACCTTCAACTGACAAAAAGTGGAAAACAAGAAATTTGTAAGAGATATTGCTGATTTTTTTTTACTGCATTGCATAACTGTAATAGCCTATAATGTTATGGGGTCTAAGCAGTCCTTTGCAATTTCAAAATAAGATGCAATGACACTGAATATTTGTTTTATGTTTTGTACACCCCTAATAATTAGAGCGAATCTTTAATAGTCAGAACCAGTCGATGGTACAGTGGCTGTGCTTTCCATTCTTTCAGAGACGTTTGTGTTCTCTGAAAAAGAGTTTGTGAGAAGGCAGCCACATTTAGAAGTACTTCCAGTAAGGTGTGCTGCAGCTTCAAAGAAGAAAGACATAAACCAAACAAACTACATAGTCGTACGTCATCCCTTCTGCTAGGGAAGTCCTGCTGGCTCCACTCCAAGACAACACGTGGTGCCTGACTTTCTCTGCTCTGTGAAGGTGTGCAAGGATGGATAAAAGACGATTCTCACATAAGAATGCATTTATTTTATTTATTTATTTTTCTAAAATTATCTTCTGTGTGCTGCTTTCCGTGTTTTAGTATCTGCAGCATCGACCGGCGACTGCAAGGGAATCTTTCCCTCACAGAAAGTATTGACAAACTTATTTGTGCGAGTCAGATTTAAGCACACGATCCACCCAGGTCAATGTGTTTTGTCTCACATGTGTGGAAGCTGAGGTCCCTGCAGCAAGAAAATGACTGACAAAGCAATCCCTGAATACAAGCACTGCTCGAGTGGTTGGGAGTGTGAAAAAGATGCTAAGTCCCAGATTTCATAGCTTCATATCATGCATGAGGTTTCTGAACACCTCCCTGGGTCATTTATCGTTTCCTCTGCGTTCCCTAATGGTTTTTCTTGCTGTGCGGGAGAATCATTTGTAAAAGCAGCCTTGACAGTCTCTCCAGGGTACAGGACACAGCAGCGAGTGTGCAGCTATCTCCTGATTTGGAAGCAGAGGCATGAGCGGAAACGTGAGATCAGCATTTCGTCCTCATTCATTACTCGTTTTCTCTTGTGGGGAAAGCAGTTTAACATGGACCCTCTGGTGGGGTCACTGTCTTCAGAGTGAGAAGTGTAAATTGAAGATTGCAAGTGAATGGACGTAAATTCTGTTAGGACGCACTTTATAATATTCAGCAGCTCTCCTGCTACTTGTAGGGGAAGTTGAGGAGACTGCTTTACGATAAGGTAATTTCTTCCATTTTAAGACTAATCTTGCATCTAAGTAACCATGGTTACAGTATAGTTTCTAAGCTGCCGCCAACTGAAATGACTGAAGACAGTAATGGCCATTGAAACGATGGAAGTTTAAGCACGATGGACGATGCCCGTGTGCACGATGCCCGTGTGCACGCCGGCATGCTCGGCCCGTGCACACAGCATGTTGTGCATAATGCAAATGTTTTTCAATCAGCTCAAATTTCGTGGAGGTCTTGTCTTGCCATGTGAAAAGCTTCCTGTCGTTTCAACATTGTGTCTCCCTCCCTGTGTTCTTCTCCCACAAGATGCCTGCGATTCACTGGAGTTAAAAATAGATATGGCCCCCCGCCCCCACGATTCCCACCCCCAGTGCAGCTCGGGCCTAACTTTATTTTCGCAGGGGAAATGAAAAGCACATATACTGATCGGGCTGCAGGGACAGAAGGAAAAACAATAACCTTCAAGAGCCAATGACAAGAGAGTTTCTGTGCACAAACAAAGGATGGGGATTTGGAAGCCTGTCATGATTAAACCAACGTTGCTTTTGCTTTTTAGAAGTGTAAAATCCAAGTGTTTTGATTGTGTCTCTTTAAATTGTTTTTCTATAGCTGACAGCCATGGTAGTAAAAAAAAAAAGACATCACATCCTCCTTCAAGTTTATGTTTTATATGTCAGAATATTTACATATTCAACCATTTAGAATATTAATTCCAATGAGTCTCATTTGTCTGTACGCCTTTTGAAAGTAACATTTCAATAAGTCTACATTTGCTGCTCTTTGTTTAAGGTGTTTGATTTTCCTGATGTAATATTTAAATTTTATATCTTTTTTTATTAGCTGTAAGTGGAAAATGAGCCTCATAAACAGAACAACAACCTCCACCTAACATCCACCTATGCGTAATTAATCTAAAAAATAAGTTGCTTTACTTTAAGTTTCTGAAAATAAACAGGCTTTCCAAATAGTCATATCTGTTGAATGCATTAGTAACCAAAGGATATGGTGTGCTGTTTGAGTTTCTACATTTTGTTTTGTTTTGTAGAGGTAAGCTTTGGAGTACAAATCGCTCAACAGATTCAACACATTAATTGTTGAACAAAAATAAACCCAACATGTAAAAGCTGTGTGTAAAAAACCAAGAACTCTGTTGCCAAATCCTATTCAACGCAATAAGGTAAGCAGCAGGTAGGTACTGCTGGTTAATTATGCCTGATTAACTGAACATCACGAAATGTTACCATCTTGTTGTTCATTGTTGTTTAATATTTAATGAGGGTGGTTTCCACAATCCGAATTTGATATAAATTGTTTTAGAAACAATTTCGCACATAAGCCTTAGAATAGAAAGAGGGTTTTCTTTCTTTTAATGGAGACTGTATGTGGTCCTCTCACTGGAAAGATAATTCAGTTTTGACACAGTCACATGGACATGGACTCTTCACTTGAATAATTCATTGTCCCGATCTTACCTTCTGCACCAAGCGATATAATATTAATACTTTCTGTTTCTTATAAGGCCGACAGCAATCTTCATATCTCATCTGTGCAAACTGAGAGTGAGGCGGACAGATGATGGGATAGAAGAAGAGCCTTAAGGATAAATAGAGTAAATGAGCAAGAAGGCGACGTTGCGAGGAGATGGAGACGGATGCGAGCATGACACGGGCTGAAGTCAGAGTGTGACAGGCATGCAGAGGAGGAGGAGGAGGCAGAGGAGGAAGAAGACGGAGGTGGGGGAAGAGATGCTGGATGAGTCAAAACCCCTGAGCTTCGATGAACTCTCTGTGAAAGACACAGTGCTGAAAAGACGGCTGGCGTGTGCCCTCTTTGCCATGTCTAAGACAATGACATAATTATCATCAAACAAGCAAGGACACGCTGCGAGAGCCCCCGACTCACGCTTGGCTCTTTTTTTTTTATTTTTATTATTCACTCACTTATTAATCATTTTCCTTTCACTCTCAGTATTACTTTGGGCTGACATCAAAGCCAAATATGTATAGTTAGAGATATTCCTGCAAAACAATATGGTATTTCTACAATCCCACTGTCAGTTAATACAAACAGTAATAATAAATAGATTTTACATACAGTACAGTCATAAAACTCTCCCTAAACTTAAAAAAAGTACTATTACTTTTACATTGATATTGCACAATGTATGGAAACACTTTGGTGAGTAGCGCTGCTGCAAAACAGGGTCACAGAATGCGGTTTAACAGGCTACAATAACAGAGAGGCATTAACTCCATCATAACGTGTGTGTACTGTGTGGGTTTTGATTCTGCTGAGCCACAGTGTCACTGCTGACGCTCTTTTTCAGCAAGTCTCCTTGCTTTGTTCTGGAGGTAACGTGACTTGCCCTCTTCAAAACGTTTCTGCTCATCGTCTCCTTCAATCTGTGGACAAAAGCACAAGGACAAAAGACTTGCTTTAAGATGCACATTTGTCACTTTCACATTAGTCTGCACAGGAATGCTTCCTTTGCTGCAACATTATGCAAAGGCGCAAAAGCTCTGATCTAATTTACCACCCTGTGCTTGGCAATCACCATTCATCATCTCGGTGAAGTGGTCTTTCTGCATCAGACGTGGAAAGTTTGCAGAGGATATTTCCCATCAACACATCTGAAAGTGTTTGAAGTTTCTGTGAGGTACTAGGCTCTAGTGTTGTATTAAACAGCAACGCAGTGGGAAAACAGCGTAATTCGGATAAGCTGACACCGAACCTGTATGTTAATATTACAGTAAATGTAAATTAGAAATGACTATTTTGAGATTATCGCTATCTCCTTACAAAGCCCTCAGATCCCGTCTCTTGACCTGTCCAACAAATGGAGCTTTGTTTTTTGTAATGAAACTAAATCCACTATTGAAATGTTTTAATGAAATTTCACACAGATTTCACTAAAATTTTTCAGTAAAAACATTTTTATTTATTTTTGCTCTGCATGCTCTAGCCTTAACATATGTAAGCGTGACACGGCGAAGCAGGAAAATTCATCCTCTTTAAATTCTCCTTTGCAAAATATTCCAAATCCGCACAAGCCGCTGAGAGGATGTAGTCGGTGCGGGATGATTGAGAGAAGACAAAGACTGCATATTTTTCTTGTCTGTATCTGCTGATACTGGGCAGGTTCGCCCAGTGTCCAGCTTCACTATCCTTGCCGAAGGAAAGCATTCCCACTTGATGATACCAAAGCAATATTTTCATTGAAGATGATGTGTTGAAGGCGATGCGCAGTGCTAATTTTCCTCCAAACATAGTCTTTTGCACGTCAGGCAAATTGTTCCTTTTTAGTCTCCTCTGTCAAGAAAACCTTCTTTCACATTTCTTGAATCCCTTCATATGACAAGCTGCAAACAGAACTTGCATGTTAAGATCTATTTCTTTTTGAGGACACACTCAGATTGCAAACTCAAAAGAAGATACCAGTCTCATGGGTGAGGTGCAAACCTGGCAGATTGGTAACTGTGCCACAAGAACCGTCGCAGGTACAAGTCACTGGGGATCATGACTCCAATGTGACGAGAAAACAAACACCAACAGGTTGAGGAGAGTGCAGCTGCAGTTTTTGGTTTGTTTGCCGTATACCAGTTATATAACCGTCAACATATTGCTCAGCCAGTTATGCTTTGTTGCCATTCAGCTGAAAGCAATGCATAATTCCAGTTCGTTGGGTTTCAAAGAGGGAGGAAGACAGAGTTTCAACACAATTCAGCATTTTAAGCAAATGCAAACTATCGGACACGCCGTCCATTCATTCTGTTTTTAACTAAGTTTGTCAACCAAACCTGAAGAGCCTTCATAAAATCAGCCAGTTTATCAATTTTTGCGAGGGCAAACAAAATTATATTGTGCAAACAGGAAAAAAACTAGTTACTATATGTATGTAATGATAGTGAAAAGCTTAATTTTTTAGGCTAAGGTTAAAAAGAGGAAGGCAGGCAGTTTTACTATTGACAGCCCGGAGGAACACAATCTGTTAGTATGTTTTTAATATGCCTTTATTCTTCTACCGGATGGCAGATGGCAACGTGAATTATGCCCTGACTTGGAAGGGTTTTGAGATGTAAGAGGCTGTTCTATGGAGAAAGTCACTGTGGAAAGTTGCTGAAAAGAGGGAGTTGTGTGCCACTGATGTGTTCTGCTGGCTTTACTACTCTCGGCCGGTCTTTCTTGTGTAGACCAGTGCAGCTTTTGAATCATACTGTGCAGCAGTGGGTCAGGAGGCTCTCTATTGTCGACCAACAGAAAGTGGTCAGGAAATCTTGACGGCGCTTTGGGGCTCAGGAAACACGGTCTCTGTGCAGCATTCTCTCACCTGATGGGAGATTTGTGTGGTCAAGCTGAGGTCAGTTGAGATGTGTAATCAGAGAACGTCAAAGCTCTCAACCATCGTCACTCTGTGAGCTAAATTCTCATCAGCTATTTTCTGGAATTTGTTATTATTTATGTGGTTTCAGAGATGATTCTGTTCATGTTAAAACAAGAGAACCACTCTGTCAGGGGTAAAAAAAAAAAAAACTCCTTCCAGTAGACTGTCATCACTTTCCATTAGCCATAAAGTGGCGGTAAACAGAAAAAACTGAATGATTGTGTTTATATATTGGCTGGGAAAGAGGTCATGGGTGTAAAGGCATAGAGAAAAAGGCTGAGGATTCACCCTTACGTTGTGCCAATTTTCAGTATTACATGGGTAATGCCTGACCACCCAGCCCATCATTCTCTGAAGAAGTTGTAGGTAAATCTGAAAAGGTGTGTACGAGCCTACAAAAAGTCAGGCCTACAAATCTGACTGACATACACCAATTCTGCAAACTGTTGTGAGAAGTTTGTGAAAGAAAGTTTGCCCAAAGTTATACAGATTAAAAGAGAATTATCCTTAGTAGTGTCCAAATATATGATGACTTCTGAATTTAAATTCAGGTACAAAAAAACTCTTGAAATGGTTGGCATTTAGAAAAAAAGTCTTGGTTTGGTAACTAACCAAAGACATGAGAAGTCTCTTCTGATTTAACTTTAGGCAGTGAGAAAAAATGTGCATGTCTTCGTTGTCTGTAAATATGTGGTTCCAACTGTAGGTATCGTCCTGTTCACACCATGTGTAGAGAGCCAATCACTGTCTCAGCTGTTTGCTTGGTATGCAGACTAATGTTGGTCAAATCAACAGGGAAATGGACCAGAAATTGAAAAAGGGAGTCTAAAAACACTTGGTGATGATGAGGGATAGTGTAAATGGCTGACAGTCATTAAGGCACTTGACTGTGCTTATTTTGGGTTCTGGGATAATTGTTGGTGACAAGACACAGCGGGAGTGAGAGATTGGGGAAAGTTGTAAATAGATGAGAGCTGAAATAGACAATAAATAAAACCTACAGATTCCCAGTAAAGCCGTTGCTCTTATATGACAAAAGGTCTCCATTTAGCAGACCTTGTCAGAGACTAAGTGTTATCTTTTCCTGGCACCTTTTGACAACCAGGAGCTACAGCAATAACAAATAGTATTATTGGTAAAGCCATCTTGATTAATATTTACAATGATGAAACTGCCACAACTGAGCTTTACACAAAGATTAGAAAGAGATAAATAAAGGAACATTGAACAAGTTTCATAGAAACTGCATAAAAACATGAGGAAAAAAAAAACATCGGTACCAACATCTGTGTTTTTAACATGATCAGATCAAGCTGCCATGGTGACTGCACACTAGTGGACTGATCAGCCCTTTTATCACTGCTTGTTGCTGTGTTTAATGTGTTTTGGTTTTCTTTTTAAGATGAAGCTGCCATCCGGAGTCGTGGTCACCTAACCTGGTCCTCATCACAATTTCAAGTGTAATTTTGGAGCAATATGGTTTGCTTCATTCACCCTTTATAAGTACGCTGTATTTTTGATTCATTTTTGACAGGGGTGTTTTATAATTTATTAATGTACTCTTTTTTGGCTCGTTCATTCTTTACAGAATCAGATGAAAAGATGGCATTCATTGCCACTGATCTGCTTTGATTTTTGTCTATAAAATGGCTTGCTGTTCATTAGCAAGCGCATGGAATCCATTCGAGAGGAGTATCAGGGTAGGGAGGATTAGCTTGATTTTATAATCATAGACCCGCTGTGATTATTTTGTGCAAATTGTTCCTGTAATAATTAAATACTCCACTGGCAGATGCAGCACGACTAAACTACTGCTGAAAGTGACTCGCGGTAGCAGTTAGCCCCACCATGTCGCAACCTGCACCACAGAACAGTTTATGCCAGTGAAGCTGCACCGCCTTGCAGCCTGAAAGAAAAAACATTATTTAGTTAAGCGTTTTCATTCTATTTGTGAGCCACAGCTGTATGCACTGCCACAGCATTGCCATGTTAGCAGGAATAGTTGCTGTCTCAGGGTAAGTTATGAATTACAACAAAAAAAAAACACATTCAAAAGCATAAAATTCTTCCATTCATCCATCAATGTTTTTTTTCATTCACTCACTTATTGATTATTTTTTACAAAACACCATAGAAAATACCAGGGGGAACACAGTAGCTCTGTACCAGTCAAGCGTTACTGGTGCACTCAAGCTCCTTTGTAATGTTTTTACAAAAGACATTCACATTTTTCTACATTTCTCTAGCTTAAAAGACATATATCTAATTAATTGTCATGAGAACAGGTAGGTACTCTTAACTTTGTTCTCAAAAATAATAAATATATGTCATATGTATATAATGTATTATTTTAGCATTAGCAATGTTATGATTTTGTTTCAAATAATCTTAAAGAAGAATTCATCAGGGTTTGGGAATCAAGAGACTGACCACAAAATTTCTTTCTTTCTCTCTCTTCATCATATTCTCATTTTTTTTTGTTGTTGTTTTGAGTTTTGTCCCTCAGTAGAAAGTCTCCGAAAGGCGTCAGAATTTGGGCCCAAATCCGTTTGCAGAGATGTTTACTAAGCTGATCACCTTGAACCACGGAGCCCACTGCCGAAGCGCCCAGCTTACTATTGATCCTCGCCACCTAGTGCCGAGTCTTACCGCTTCATGTGACGTCATTGGCCCTGATACACACAATAACATTTGCAGAGCTTTCCAAGTGTTCCTTTTCTAAGCCCTGTTTGAGTGTGTCAGAGTAAAATCCAGCTGTGGAAATTCAAAATTCATTAACCACCTGTGGATCTATTATCGTTGTACCGTTACTGAAAAGAAACACATCCCTAGCTGCGTTCCTTACCAAAACACTGCTTGTGAATAATATGAGAAATGTTTGACTGTAAATAAATTGACTGAAAGGGTTGCATGGTGGAATTATTGCCTTGCAGCAGCAAAGTCATGGGTTCAAATCCCAACCTATTTATTTTTTTTTCTGTATGGGGTTCGCATGGTTCTTCTCCTTTTCCCTATAACAAT